ATATATCTTATATCGCCATCCAGCTAAAAAATATCGAGATATGAATTTTGGGTCATATCGCCCAGCCCTATTTCTTTGTTATACAAGAAAGAAGAAAAAAGCTAAGTGGCAATCTGGTTGACCGAACCGGCACTTAATAGGTGTCCTACATTAATAAAAAGAGCGATTAGTTTAACTCGCCACATCATTGAGGTGACCAGGGTTGTTCTTTGTCACTGACTCTTTTCATAGCTTCAATGAACAGAGTTTCTAGGTGCAGCCCAGAGTTAGAGGTGGTCTCAGAATAACCTCTCTGCTTTTTGCAGACGATGTGGTTTTGTTCATTTCATCAAGCTATGACCTCCAGCTTGCACTTGGGTGGTTTGCAACTGAGTTTGAAGTTAGTTGAGATGAGAACGAGCACCTCGAAGTCTGACTCCATGTTTCTCAGGCGGAATTGAATTGAAAATTGAACTGATGGTTGGACAGATCCAAGATGGTTAACACACACATACAGTCCATATGGTTAACTTAAATTTGGGTGCTATTTATTTAGGGCAGCAGTGCTTTATAGCCTTGTTGAGTAGTTGTGCACACCACTTAACTGATATATTATCTAATTATTACTTAAAGTAGAGCCTGCTGAGGCTGAAATAATCTGGGTGTATAAAGACCTCTATAGCCTTCTCTTAATCTCTGTGTGAAGTTAGGGACTGCAGACTACATTAGCAGTTACTAGCTTCTTAAGAATTGGTGCCAGAGGAGGGTACTATGCTTGCCATAGACAAGCTTGACTCAACGAAGCCTAAAAAACAAAATAAATATCACTGCAGGACCATATGTATATTCTTTTTAAATTTTGCAGGTATAGATCAAATAAGTGGAGCATGTCAAACAGTGATGCTGGTCATTTAAAGTTTAATGTGTGTGTCTGTAGCCTGCAGTGTGAGGCTTGTTGGAGGTGATGGAGTTTTTAGTTAACTTCACCTTAGGGAAGGGCCAACCTGCTTCCTGCCTTTGCTCACAAGGAGCTGAGTCAGCAGACTGTCAGATTTCCACATAAAGAGAGGGGATGGAATGGGACAGCAGTTCTCTTAACGGGATTTCAACAGATTAACTTACCTCCCTACACATTTCTCTTCATCTTGCCCTCACTCATGATCAGTGTAGCTTATAAAGTTTCAATAAATCTTAACAGGTGTGGTAGCACCACTTTTTCTTTTAACGTGATTCCTCATTTGACAGATTTTCTCCAGCAGTTTTTTTTTCTTGTCTCATCTCAACGATGTTTCTGTTGTAGAACTGCCATACAATGACTACTTTGAGTACTTCGGGCCTGACTTCAAGCTCCACATCAGCCCCTCCAACATGACCAACCAGAACTCACAGGAATATATGGACAAAATCAAGTATGTCAAATGTGAAACTATTTGTTTTCTTTCTAGAACTGCCAGAATTCCAAGCCTAGAACTGCTGGAGATTTGGAATAATTGTGGAAAAAGAATGTTATTGACAAGTTAAAAATATATTTTGGACAGTGTGGTATTAGTTTAATTAAAATACAGAAGGAATGAAAACAGATTGAACTTAGAAAGCTGACCTCACAGTTGGCTAACTAATAAATGAATTGTTGTATAAGTTAGATAGTCAATGTCCACAACTGGACCTGCAGCTTCTCCAGTGTCCACGCTACCCCACCTCAGTCTGTAGCCCTTCACCTCCTCTGCGCTGCTTCTCAGGCCTGAAACCCACCCTGAGAGCCATCCAGTTCGGTGGCTGTGCTCCAGATTTGACTCTTTATTTGCTCAGATTAGTTCTCCACCCTCTGGATTCTCTGCTCATTTCATTTCCCCTGCTTCTCCGTACAGCCAACAATCTGCCCAGTACTCCACACATTCAGACACGCTCTCCACACTCTGACGCCTCTGCCTGGCAAAACATCTATCACCGACCCATTCAGTTCTACAGTCATTATTCCCCTTATATATTAATCTGTCAGTCAACTCTAGTTAACTGTACTTATATCAGCCTTCATCTCAATTCAGCTTTTTCAGTTCTATTCTGTTCTATTTATCACTGAAACACAACAACATCGATTTGAAGTTCTTTAAGACCCACAATAACAGGCAGAAAACGTTGACTTGCTATGAACAAGCAGTAGTGGAAAGGAAACAACCACCTTCACATTACAATGTCAAAATGTTGCTAGGCTAGAAAAGTGATGTACAACAATTGATTAATAAAGACATTGAAATGCAGATGATCAGTATGTGACTTTTCAGGCAGCGGCTGTTTGAGAACCTGCGGATGCTGCCTCATGCTCCAGGGGTTCAGATGCAAGCCATCCCAGGGGATGCTGTCCCAGACGACACAGTGGATGAGGACACAGAGGATCCTGACAAACGCTTGTCCAGTAAGACCTTCATTCGTTTTCACAAAGCATCGGCTTCTATGGCGTACGTTGCATTTTTGGTTATAGCTTCTTTGGCAAGCCTCTTTCTGCTGTCGTCTACAATTATTTTCTAAGACAAGATGGGGGAACAGGCACAAAACAGAGAAATAAGAAAAGCCTTCTGAGACACTAAGTGGCAAAAAGGTGGAAAATAAGACAGAGGGGGATGTTATCAGTGCAGTTCTGCAGTATCTTCATTTCTGCATTGTACCACATTAGCCTTACGGTCCCATTACTCTGGCTCTCAACTTATGAAATGATCAAAAAATGTTTTGAATCAAAGGGTGAAGAACAGTATTGAGTGGGAACACTAAAATTGGAAAATGCCTGCAGTGTTTACCCAGACATGTTTGTAATTTAGACCAGGGGTCGGCAACCCTGGGCACTTGTGCCACAGCTGGCATGCGAAGGGTTAACTGATGGCACGACACGCAGTGAATTAATCTCAGAAGGTGTATTAAAAATAAATGGCCGGGGCCACCGGTGTACATCGCAAATTAGCTCGCATAGACACATTAGTTGTGCTGCTTCTTAATGACGGTATCTTAGCTAACAACCCCAACTACCAGATTCAACTTTTAATTGCCTAAAAATCACTTAGCCTACCGGTGAGCCTACTAGCTGGCAGTTTTTTCAAGCAATGTTGAAATTTCCACATTCCGACACTTCAAATGCTTCAGGAGCTCAGCGCAGCATCAGCAACACGGAAATACACATAAATATAATACTGCACTATGCCAACATCTGCAAACAAAAATTGTTCTATAAATTAGTTCTATATAGTGTGTAACTGTTGATATAGAGCGTTATTAAATTTATTCCTAATGCAATGGTTGATATGGCACAGTGACTTCTGGGGAAATTTTAGATGGCACTCATCATCAGAAAGGTTGCCAACCCATGGGAGAAAGGACCCCAGGTTTGGAAAAAAGGAGCAGCAGTACTGCATATGCATTATTATGCTGTGTTACAACTCACTCACTCAAACTCACCAGAGTTTGGTCTTTGATTGCAGTCCGTGCTACAGATAAGAGAATAGCCTGTGACGAAGAGTTCTCAGACTCTGAAGATGAAGGGGAGGGAGGCAGGAGGAACACAGCCAATCACAAGAAAGGAGCCAAAAGGCCCAGAGTGGACGAGGACAAACAGGAAGGAGAGGAGAAGAAAGCTGGTTGGTTACTTTGATGCTTACTCGATTGTTGTTATTAACAGTGTAACAATGTGTAACGCTGGTTGTGATTAAAAGGTTTCTTTCTTCCCCATTTTTCACACCTTAGATATAAAAGAAGAAGAGAAGACAAAAGACAGCAGTGCTGAGAAGACTGACTCAAAGAGGTGAATGTTTGAATTCATTCACACACTGAGTGTTCTCGCTCCTTTTTAAATGCAGTTACTGCATGCTTTTTCAAACTGAGTATGAGGTTGTGTTGTGCATGACAAGCAGAGCTTTTATATGCACAAATCTGATTAGGGCACAATACTTCAAAGATGTGGAGAGACTGTGGGATTGTTGTCATTTTTCATGAAGTTATTTTACTGTGACATCAAAACACAAAAGATGCTTCAGAAACTCAAGTGAAAGTCATATTGGGCAAACCAAAGCGCCAGTGCAGTCAGCTGTTGCTCTGATCCTGAGCTGTACCTTGTTCAACCACTGAGCTACCACAGTATGTGCACACGTTAGTAGCCTGTTGTTCTAATGTTATATGTAGCCAGTACTTAACTCATCACTATAGCAACATTTCTGTTGTTTGAACTAATCGATTTTTCTTCCTCTGCAGTGTGAAAACTGAGCAGACCAGCAGTACCTAAAGTGTTCTTATCCAAAGATCTTAACTGGTGCTGTCGAGCCTCAAGGATCCTGCACTTCCCCAAAACACCATTAAGAAGCATTATATTTATTATGACTCTTTGTTTTCTACTTGTAAATTGTCTCTTTGTGTTGTGTGTCAGTGGTTATCCTGAATTCAGCCCTTGAATTTTCCAGATTTGGTGCTTATTAAACGATGTGAATCCAATGTGCTTAATCTTCTGAATCAGCTCTTTTGTCGTTAAACAAGAGTTTAAACCCTTACATGAACCTGTAATGATTTTACAGCTGAATTTTGATATTTTGTGCTTGTTAATAAAAAAAATTTTATACTGTTGTCTTTGAGATTGTTGTTTCAGCTCATCATAGATTCATGTTCTGAACATGTTCAGCCACAAGAGGGCTTTCTAACCTGGGAAAAGGCATCACAGTACATGCAATTTATTTCCCAGACACAGGTGGAATGAAGGATTATTACTGGCATGCATATGTAATGCATAGCTTTCATACAGTGTTGCTGTGATGGAAGCCCACCTCAGGCAGTAACTAGGAGTAACTAGTGACCCAAATTAGTGAACTTGGTTATTTTCATTCAGCTTCTTCATTCATATAACAAGCTGAATGACAAGGAAGTATTGACCACTTGTCAGTTTCCGGTCTATTATAAATATTTTGCTCATAGTTCTGAGAAGTGGTTTTCCGGAATAGTGAATTGCGTATCCTTTTTGCTGGACAACAGCCTGCAGTTGTTTGTTGTAGTTTTCAACGAGTCATGCGCATGTCTCCTGAGCAATCCCATTCTTTGACAAATCTCTCAGGCTTCTCCATATTTGATGGTCTTCTGGCATGTACCTTGCTCTTTAGTTCAAAAATCCCGGAAAAGTTGATCCAAAATGCTGCAGCAAGAGTACTGACAGGGACTAGAAAGAGAGAGCATACTTCTCCTATATTGGCTTCACTTCATTAGCTCCCACTTAAAATTCTTCTCCTTACATGCAAGGTCATAAATAATCAGGCCCCATCTTATCTTAATGATCTTATAGTACCATATCACCCTATTAGAGCACTTTGCTCTCACACTGCAGGCTTACTTGTTGTTCCTAGAGTATTTAAAAGTAGAATGGGAGGGAGAGCCTTCAGTTTTCAGGCCCCTCTTCTGTGGAACCAGCTTCCAGTTTGGATTCGGGAGACAGACACTATCTCTACTTTTAAGATTAGGCTTAAAACTTTCCTTTTTGCTAAAGCATATAGTTAGGGCTGGACCAGGTGACCCTGAATTCTCCCTTAGTTATGCTGCAATAGGTGTAGGTTGCTGGGGGATTCCCATGATGCATTGAGTTTTCCCTTTCCAGTCACCTTTCTCACTCAGTATGTGTTAATAGACCTCTTTGCATTGAATCATACTTGTTATTCATCTCTGTCTCTCTTCCACAGCATGTCTTCTACCCTGTCTTCCTTCTCTCACCCCAACCGGTTGCTGCAGATGGCCGCCTCTCCCTGAGCCTGGTTCTGCCGGAGGTTTCTTCCTGTTAAAAGGGAGTTTTTCCTTCCCACTGTTGCCAAAGTGCTTGCTCATAGGGGGTCATATGATTGTTGGGTTTTTCTCTGTATGTATTATTGTATACAATATAAAGCGCCTTCAGGCAACTGTTGTTGTGATTTGGCGCTATATAAATAAAATTGAATTGACTTACTAGCGGAGTATCCTTGTCTCTACAGGACCCATACCCTGACATAATCTTTAACAACAACAAAAACAAGGGAAAGTTTCATGATGATGTCAGATATCTGTAGAGATGTTCTGTTTCAGAGAAATTTCAAACTCGATGTGTGTCTATATATGTTGATTGTTTTTAGTTAACAAGTTTAGTTTAGGGTTAACTCCACATCTTATTAAATTTCTTTCCTCTGGACATTTTTCTTTCAGCATTCATCAGTCATTACACAAACTGCCTTTTCAATCTCTTTTCTATTACTGTCCGATTTCTGCTGCTGCTGTGAGCTGATCAAAAACGGACCTGTCCATTTCACATCAAAGGCACCATCTGAAATTCTTCTTTGTATCTCTCAGTAGGTTCTCAGTTATCCAGGTCATGGTAGCCTAAGGAGATTGGAAAAAAAGCCACTGGACTTCTTTTAAGTTTCCAGATAGGAGGCGAAACATCGTCAAGAAACTCAAAGAAGTCCAGTCATATTTTTCCCAAGCTCCTTAGTCCTCTTTGTGTCGTTCAAATAGATAGATATGACTGGTTGTTAGAAGTTTCAACTTTTGAGGAAGATTCATCGCCTACATGAACAGAACTATATTATATTGTGTACTATATACAAAAAAATATATGTGTATTGAAATGCATGTGTGCATATTCAGGTATGTGACCATGGCTGTAGCTCAGGTGGTAGAGCAGGTCAGTTACTAACCGGAAGGTTTGTGGTTCAATCCAAGGCTCCTCCAGTCTGCATGCCAAATATCCTTGGGCAAGATACTAACCCCATGTTGCTCTCCGATGTATGAATAAGCACTTAACAGCTTAGAAAAAGTGCTTGTGTGATTGGGTGAATGAATTAGTTGCTTCGAGTGCTCAGATAGAGTAGAAAAGCACTATATAAGAACCAGTCCATTTACCATTTGTGTGTATTTTGATCTAAATATGTGTACTGAGATCTGTGTGCGTATTCAGATTAGGGAGTGTGTAAATAAATCTGTAGGCATGCACAGATATCAGTCACAGTTCTCCCAGCCTTACAAGTGGCAATTGTTTTTACACCTGACCTTTGTTATACAGCTGCTGTGGCAGATCCACAAATGCATGTAGTGATCTACAAATGCAGACAGTTATCTGTCAGTTAGGGTTTCATTTACCCTGAGCTCAGGCTCGCACACTCAGGTTTCCAGCAATGCTTAGAACGTACCAACATATGTGGCGGATTAACAGCTATATGATTAAGCTCCAACCTTGTTGTGGTTTAGAGAGTTGTTATTTTGTCCAATGATGATAAGGCTAACCACGGTAGCATTCCCATTGAAAGAAAACTGGATTACTGAAAATTACATTTTCTGGATGTGGCCTGTGTCCTCAGTTCAAAGTACATAAGGTATAATAAATGTACTAATATCCATGGATTATATAACACTGCTGTAAAAATTTAATTTGACATTGAAGAATGTGGTTTATTCAAGATTTTGTATTCTAATTAAATCCACAGATGAAGGATCAGTTCAGCCAATAAAGCAAATACCAGTCTGGTAGGGTTTTTTTATTGTTGTATTTTATCAGTAAGTTTTGCATAAATATGTAAATAAAAGTTAAGTTAAGGAGACCTTTCCTTTCGCTTCATTCATGATCTAGTGGTGTGTGATTAAGTAAAGGTTTAAATCTCATATAAATATACATTTAGTCCATCATTTGTAAATGATGATAACTGTTCTACTCTGTGTTTCATACAACATGTCTATTTCACACCTGTTCACATAGCCACTGTTCACATAACCATGTATGGAAGTTCAGAAGTCTTGTCGATTCTCTGTGGCTCTTCGTGGTGTTACGGCGGGGTGGCCAGGCTGAGTGAATGGACCCAAATGCAGATACAGACAGAGGCCCAGATTTGAAAGTGATAACCAAGCTTCATTTACAGAAAATGTTTCAGTGCTTAGAATACCACACATAAACTGTGACCTATGATGAACACAGGCTTCAGGGAATGGTCGACTAAAGTGAAAGATAAAGGGGGACTTGGTGGTTCAAATGGTGGTGCTCTGAGTCACTGTAAGAGAGGGATACAGCCACTGTCTTGTCAGAATAGAGAACTTCGTTAATTTTAGCATCTTACTGGTTAGCAGGTGGAGCACAGAATGGGAGAGGCGGTCAGAGAGGCCCAGGTGGGCATCCTGTTGGTGGTGAGTCCTGGCAGAATGATCCAGTGAATCCCAGAGCACGAGCTTGAATCGTGGCTGTGAAGTACCGAGAAGATCTGCATGTCTTCTATCCTCTCTTCCTTCTCTCCCCCAAACGGTCGCTGCAGATGGCTGCACCTTCTTGAACCTGGTTCTGCCGGAGGTTTCTTCCTGTTAAAAGGAAGTTTTTCCTTCCCACTGTCGCCAAAGTGCTTGCTCATAGAGGGTTATATGATTGTTGGGTTTTTCTCTGTATGTATTGTTGTAGGGTCTACCTTACAATATAAAGCGCCTTGAGGCGACTTCTGTTGTGATTTTGTATAAATAAAATAAAATTGAATTGAAGACTGGAATGATGGTAAGCTTCACTTGTTCTGGGGTATAGTTAGGCAGATATCATAGGAAAAACAATGAATATAGTATTTATATGCACCTAAACACACCAAGTTTCAGCTTTTGTCTACAGAAATGCTTTTGCTGCTAGTGACCTAAAAGAAGCAACAGCAGCAAGATGACTTAAATTAATTGTGTTAATTCTTAATATTAAGTTCTAACCATTAAGCATACTTTCGTGTTGTGTACTCCAAATATAGATAATATCATCTTAATGTCCCAAGAAAAACTGACACTGATTAGATCAGGCAACATTTTTATAATCTTCTGGTGTCTAACTTTGATGAGCCCACACAAACCATCAGTTTTACATTCTGATACCTCGAATATCAAAGGAGATGCTCCCCTGCAAGACTTTGGTTGTAACAAGTTGATATTTAAGTTTCTGCTGGCTTTCTACCAGCTCAAAGCGCTCTGACCATTCCTCTGACTGCTGGCATCAACAAGGCATTTTAACCCAGAGTAACATAAGTGTTGCTATTTATGTAGTGCTAGTCCACAACACACATGCCATTTTCTATGTAAGGTAAAGACTCTATAATTAAGACATTCAATAAGCTTTAAAAAAAAAAATCTAGATACTACCGCTGCTGCTATCCCAATTGCGCATTGTCTATCTAGTAGGATGCAAGGCTGAGGTTAGAGGTCAGATGAAAAACCTGGGACCTGCAGATGGGAATTTGGGTATGATGAAAATGTGACTCTTCCAAGTACAGCACGGTACTGCAGCTGATAAAGAGCTCTAACTCATCCCCCTTTACTGCCTTTTGAATATGGACACCAGCTTATTGGGTTTTCTTTACAGAAAGAATATTTTGTACAAAATGAAATCTATAATACTGACACCGTTTCCTCATTTGTACAAAGTGACAGGAGTGCTCTTATACTGTACTTAGTATATGTGGCACCTACACATGTATGATAACAACAACTGTCATTTCCTTTAAGAATTTCTTGGTGGGAAAACTCACCATAGTACTGCAGCCGCTTTTAGTTGGGTTCCTGGAAATGTAATTGTGTGTTTTTGCCACAAGAGGGAAGTGTGGACAAGT